AGGTTTTAGAGTGGACAAATGTTTTCAACTCACTTGGGTAAATGCCAAGAAGCATGATTGCTGGATCATATGATAAGAATATGAAACCTTCATTGTTTTGTTTATCTGAAAATGTCTTTATTTCATCTTCATCTTGAAGGATATTATTCCTGGTTATAGAGCCCTAAGTTGGCAGTTATATTGTTTCAACACCTTGAATATGTCATCCTAGAGACTTTTGGTCTTCCCTGTTTATGCTGAAAGTCAATCATCGCTCTCATTGTTCTGTTTTGAAGACCATGGCTTTAGCTTTATCTGCCGTGGTTGCTTCCATGATGTTCTCTCTCTCTCTTGCAGGTTGACAATGTAAGTTTAAAAGATGTTTGCTTTAGAACTTTCTTGCTTGAGATTCTTAGTGTTTCTTGAGTCTTAAGCAACGTGTTATTCATCAGTTTTGGAAACAGCATGCCCTTGTCTGTTCAAATATTGCCCAGGCACTTTCCCTGTCTCCTCTTCATTTAACTTCAATTAAAATATGTTCCGCCCATGTTAGCCTCTGCATCCACTGAATCTCTTCCTACTCATTTTGTATTTCCTTCACCTTTTCTCTGTATGTTTTACTCTAGATATTTTTATCTAATCCATCATCTAGTGTACTAGCATCTCTTCACCATGACTTACCTGTTGAAAATGTATATAATACATTTCTTGCTTTCAGGTATTTTATATTTTGTCTGTAAAATATCTTTTATGTTTTTTTTTGTTTTGTTGATACATAATTTACATTCAATAGACTGCGCCTATTTAAGTGTACAGTTTGATGAAGTGTACAAATTGAAACGTGTGTAACCACCACCACTATCAATATTCAGAATATTTCCTTCCAGTGCCCTGCCAACTTCCCTCTTGTGCCTTTGAAGTCAAACTTCTTGCTCCATCTCCAGCCCTGGCCAACCACCAAGATCTCTTGTCTCAGTATAGTTTTGTCTTCTCAAGAATTGTATGTCAAATGATTCAGACAGCATGCAATATTCTGTTTCCAGTCGTCCACCACGTAATGCTTTTGATATTCCCAAACATTGTGTGTGTTGGTAGTTTGTTCCTTTGCGATACTTTGAATGGATATTCCAAAGTTTGCTATTCATTCACCAACTGCTGGACATTTGGGATGTTTTCAGTTTGGGGACATCATGAATAAAGCTGCTATCAACATTCACATACAAGATTGGTGTGGACATGTGCTTTTAGTTTTCTGAATTAAATACAAAGAGTGGAATGATTAGATTACATGGTACTTGCATGCCTACCTTAATAAGAAACTGCCAAAAACTGCCAAAGTACCTAGTCTTTACACTAACATGTGAAAACCATAGTGGCTCCACCTTACCAGCCCTTGCCATCATTGTCACCCATTTGAATGTAGCTCTTTCTAGTAGTTGTGGTATGCTGTCTCGGTTCAATTTTAATTTTTATTTTCTTGTTGCCTAATAACTTTGAGCAACTTTACATGTGTTTAATTATTTGACATGCATTTTCTTTGGGGAAATGTCTGTTCAAATATTTTAGCTATTTTTAAAACAAGTTCTGTGTTCCCATTACTGAGTTGTAAGAGATTTTTGTATGTCCAGACATGCAAGTAAGTTCTTTATTATGTAAGTATTCTCCCTCTCTGTGACTGGATTTTATTTTCTTAACAAGATCTTCCAAAAAAGCAAGGTTTAACTTGCCTTTTAAATTGTTTTATAAAGCCAGTTTACCATTTTTCCCTATTATTGTTCATGCTTTTTGTGTTCTAGGAAGTGTGGTCTAACTCAAGTTAACAAAGGTTTTTCTCCTGTTACCGTGAACAAGTTTCATAATTTTTCCCTTTACATATATGCTTATTGTCTTTTTGGGGTTCCCCTTGTATGTGATTTGAGGTAATGCAAAAGTTCTATTTTTTCCATATGCATATTCAATGTTTCTTTAATATTTGTTGAGCACATATTTTCCCTCATTGGATCACCTTAGCTCTATTGTTGAAAATCAATTGCCCATATATGCGTACCTCTATTCCTGGACTTTCTATTTGTTCTCTATTTATTTACATGTCTATATTTGTGCTAGTATCACACTATCTTGATGACTGTAGCTTTATAGTAACTTAGGAAGTTAGTCAGCATGAGAATTCCAAATATGTGCTTCTCTTTCACAGTTGTTTTGGCTATTTCAAAGATTTTTTTTTAAGTACATTAATTTATTTTGAGAGAGAGAAAGAAAGCACGAGCAGGGGAGGGGCAGAGAGAGAGGAGAGAGTGAAAATCCCAACCAGGCTCCACACTGCCGACGCGGAGTCCGATGCAGGGCCTGAACTCACCAACCGTGAGATCACGACCGAAGTCGGACACTTAACCAACTGAGCCACCCAGGCGCCCCTCGGCTATTTCAATCCTTTGTATGTCAGTAAAATTTATATAACCACCTTGTTGTTTTTTTAGTCATTTGAATTATTATGAATCAGCAGATAATTTTGGGGAGAGTTTTCATCTTAGCAATATTGAGCTTTAAAGTCTAAACACATCATCTATTCTCCATTCATTTACATCTTTTCAAATTTCTCTCAGCAATGCCGATGTAAATGTTTCATTTACAGCTTCACATGTATTTTGTTAAATTCACCCTAAGAAGTTCATGTTTTTCATGTATTGTAAATGATATTTTTATTTTTATTTCCAATTTTTTTTGTTTCTAGGATAGATAACTATAATTGATTTTTGGGTATGGACCTCATATCCTGCCACCTTGCTTATCTCACTAGCAGGAGTTCTAGTAATTTTTTAAGGGACTTGTGGAACTTTCTATGTATGTGATCTTCTCAGTTATGAATAAAGACAATTTTACTTCTTTCTTTCCACCTTGTATGCCTTTTCAATTTTTTGCAAATCCTGCCTTAATGCACTAAGTAAGACTGCCAATCAGGGCTAGGAGTGGTAAGAGACCTGAGAGGGAAAGCTTTCAGATTTTAATGATGAAGTATGTTTCAGATGACCTTTATCAGATTTAAGAAGTTTTTCCTATTCCCAGTTCCCAGATAACTTTTAATCTGAATAGGTGTTAAACTTTGTTGAATGTATTTCCAAATGATACTGGTATCGCATTGTAGCTGTCATAAATTGCCACATACTTTCTCCTCCTTTTCCAGACGAGGTGCCTTATCTCAGGTGTCCTCTGCACGCAGTGCTCAAACCCACACCTGTGGCTTTTGGTGAGTGTCTGCACCCTCATTCAGGAAAAGGCACATCCTGCTGTGTGCACAGCAGGATCCTGGGAGGTTTCCAGGGTGAGGGTGCCAGAAGAGTCTTGGGTCATCCACCACCCCAGGGCTGGGGCCCAGGCATCATCCATCCCTCTCACATCCCAGGCCAGGCACCAGTAAAGCCAAAGTGAAGGGGAATCCATCTCTGTCAGAATCACAGCGTCCGTGTTGCCGAGCCCAGACCCAGCAGCCAGGAAGACAGAAAGCACAGCAGTGGCCAACAAGGCAGAAACCCACCTGAAGCCTGACTTTAGGGGAGGAGACCTTACACAGCCAGCTTCCTGGGGGTGTGACCTACACAGCCCCATGGGACCCCGTGCTCGCAGGCGTTGCACACCTGGTTCCATGCTCTGCTGTCACCCTCTTGGAATTCTTCATCATTTTTTCACAGGGAGACCCACGTTTTCATTCTCCACTGGGCCTGTGCAATTAGGTGCCTGGATCTGGGTCAGGAGCCTAGTGTGGGTGAGAGAGGGGAACCTCTTCTCAGGGAAAAGAGGCAATGGGGTGCAGGGGTCCTTAGTACTACTCTCTCCCTCTTCTGAACCTGGGACCTCGTCCCCTCAACTGAGGACGTCACTGAGGGGCCTGAGAAAGTTCCACTGTCCCGCCTGCCACTGAGCCCTCCCAGGTGTCTCACCTTGGTCCACGGGAGGAACTGCAGTCCCCACCCCACTCCCGCAGGGATCACTCAGCCCTTCAAGACACCAGGGCTTAGGCCTTGCTTTGGCTTCACTGGGAGAGCCCTGTTTCCAGTGAAGAAGAGCTCCAGAGCCCACCAACAGGCCTCAGGTCATGGTCACAGGCAATGGGCTGGTGAGCTCTACTTTCATTAAACCTACTCTGTCGGGAACAATGGCTCCTCCTTCCACCTGCTGGAGGGCGGAGAATGTTGCTGAGGCCTATCTCCTTGCCCTGAAGACTCCATCTGAGGGAGGGATGAGGTGCTGAGGTTGTGTGGAGGATGGCGCCTCCAAAGATGGGGTGGAGGAGGTGGGGATTGGTGAATGTCTGTGGACCTTGTTGTGTGGTGGGAGGGACCGTGGCACCAACCCACAGCCTTCCACTCCACCCTTTTTCCCGCCACCTCCCCCACCATTGGCATCTAACTGGGGTTGTACCACGTGGGAAATCATGTAACTCTGTGGCCTGGAGCCTCTCGAAACTCACGGTCTAGGCACTCAGGGGGCACCTCCGCATCTCCCAGCACTGTACCCACACCTACTGCCTTCCATGCAGAGGCAGGGCGTGGCCATCTCAGAGCACCCGACCACGTGCTCCTCAGAGCACCACGTGCGCAGGTAAAGGAAGAAACTTCCCAAGTAATTTTGCAACTTTAATGTAACACCGATACCAAAAACATGAAAACACGACAGAAGCGCACAACAACAGCACACAACCAAAGCAGGAAGGGCAGAGAGAGCTTCATCTGGCATGCCATCTCAGATGGGCAGGGAGAAGCTGCCTAGAGTGCTGTGTGAGGGAGGGATCTGAGGAGGCACTCTGGCCTGGTGCGTGACGGCCGCAGTCCATCAGCGCTGCCTGCAAAGCAAGACACAAAAGCTGACGCAGAAATACAAATATATGTGAAACGGGGAGGGACGCAAGGACAGAACAAATGTCTTTCACACTCTCTTGGTTCCCCCACTGCTCCCAGGCCCTCCCCCGACTTCTCACAGCCCCCTCCCACGCCCTCCTGCAGAGTTTCATCTAGCGACTGAAAACCTTACTGGATCCAGGAGAAGAAGTTGGCACTCGTTCTGGCAGCATTTCTGGTCCGGATGGTGGAGCTGGTGCTGGGCCCATCGAGAATGCTGGTGCTGGCCCCACCGTTGGTGCCACTGCTGACACCAGCCCTCCAAGTGGCTCTCCTGTTGGCACGGTTGCTATTCAGAATGTACTGATGGTATCTGGCCCAGAAAGCGAAGGGAATCCTGGCCCAGGCATCGCCAAAATCTCCGTCCTCATCCCAGGTCAGGAGCTCCACCTGTATGTCGTCCCAGCTCCACCGTCCAATCAGAGCTTCGTCCCCGATATTCATCTGGGCCCTCATCTGGGCCCTGGCATGCTCCTCAGCCATATCCACATCCATCGTCTTGAATGCATCATCCACAGCCTCCAGGAAATGAGCCTTCCACTCCCGGGGGTCTCGGTTCTGATTCTGCAGTAGAGTGACAGCAACCATCCAAACAGCTAGCCCACCTCCACTGAGCACCTGCTTCCTGCCATACACCCTCCTGGGAGCTGTGCATAATCATTACACAAATAAAGACCGCTGGAGTCTGACTCTCCCGTTATTCCAGGCCAGTCCAGGGGCTTCACCCCATCCCTCCTGCTTACTAAGGCTGTGAACTTGTGTCAGTGACCTACTTAGGAACCTGTCAGTATCCTCACTGGACAGACAGTGGGAGGAGGCTGTGACCAAGAAACAAAGAAGGTACAGCAAGGACCAGACCCAGACCCCATCGCCTGGCCCCAAACAGAGGCTCTCTGTTACCTGGGCAATGAATCGCAGCACCCTCATCTTGCTGGTCTCGTGGCGGGCTCGCAGGCCCCAGAGGAACTCATACTCGGGTGGGCTGCTATTGGGGACCTTCTTGTATTCCAGGTACCTCAGGGCAAGAGGAAGGGAAACGTTTGCTTCCAGCCAGGCAGACCTGTTGTTGCACCAGTGGCTCCCAGGTGGCCCCTTTCCGGCCCTGATGCTGCAGCTCAGCTCCTGGGGGAGGATGGTCCTGACCTCCAGCCCATGCCTCACTCCCACGCTCACTCCTAGGGTGTCTGCCTCCACGATTGAGGCCTACAAAGCCTTAGGCCGCCAGTCCTGCCCAGAAGCCACGTGGAGGTGCAGGGTGGGACACGTGTAGGGTATCTGTTCATAGGAAGGCCACAAGTTTGTGCCCCTTGTCACAATGCACCCAGAGTCCCGTTGGGTGTGTTGTAAACAGAGGAGCCATTTCATCAGGCGCCCTGCTCTGAGCTCACCCCAGTGCAGGGTGTCGTCCATGGCCTGGAGGAACCCCGGGACGGCCCACTGCAGAGAACGACTCTAAAGGGAAGAAGAGCAGCACACTCCGCCCATATCCCCGACGGTGTGCGCGTGCGCGTGTCCGTGTGCCTGTGTGGGTGCGCGCGTGTTCTCCAAGGACCAAGGATTGGGTGGGCCCTAACCAGAAAGCCAGGAGGGCTGGGCTCTAGGGCCAAATGGGGCGCTTACCTGTGGGGGCCACGCTCAGACTTCCACCCTCTGAGTCCCCTGTTCCCGGGATGGAAAGCAAGGGAAATTCTACTACAGCCTATGGGGCAGGTGCCAAAGGGCATGGGGGTTGTAACACACCCTGCACCGTGTTCTCTGTCAGCTTGTACTCCCTTTCCCCAAGACCAAGCTGGATCTCTACTCCTCGTCAACACTCCAGACGCCACCCACACTCACACCAGGGACACCTATCCCTCTGGTGCTAAGATATGGGATGGAGAATGGCTGCTCGGCCACATCGGCACACGAGGAATGCACAAGCGTGAGACAAAGTTAACCTGGCCAATACTTACTTCTGCTTCACAAAGTCCTCTGTAATGAGCTTCCTCAGATCGCCAAGGAATGGGTGCCTCACCCTGAGGACAAGGAAAGGAATCCATAACAAGAACAGTGGCAGTGAGGGACACGTGGGCGGGAGCACTCCCTGGCAGGATTGAGAGCTGCCCAACCTGTGGGGCATCCCCATGGAGGCCTGGGGTGGCACCAGGGGCCGCACGTCAAGGATGTCAAGGATACCCTAGGCAAGGGTTTGGTGGAATCCCTAAATCTGATGGTTTCTCTTACGTCTCATCTGGGGACAGAGAGGGGACATGGAGCAGCGAGGGGCTGAGAGTTCAGGACCATTTCCCCATGCACCGTGACGAGACCCTTTGCCTCTACCCAGTCCAGGACGTCCACTCCCCTGGCACCAGGCCACCAGGCTACTGCAACCCTGGTGCCACTGGTGCCCAAGGACAACACTGAGGGGTGGGAGTCGAGAGCCCAACCATACCCAGGGCGCAGTCCCATCTTGCGTAGTGCCTCCCAGAGGACAGCTGTGAGGGGAGATGAGATACAAGAATTTCACACACAAAGCTGAGACTCTGGGCAACCCACCCCCCCACCCCCACCCCCCCGGCGGCAGGTCCAGCCACTCACCCTCGCTGGCACGGTTGCCATTCATGAAAATGACTCCCAGAATCACCAACAGGAGGCTCAGCCTGGGGGTGTCCTTGGTCCTAAAGGTGGAGAAAGACGTATTCTATCCGGCAGGCATCTGCCCGAGGGACTAGGGTCAGTTCACCTGACTAGCCTTTCCCAGATGGCTGGGCTACAGAGCGGGTTCTTCCCACTCTGCGCATGGCTTGTTCTCTGACCCAGACCATCTTTTCCTCTGTCTGAGACTGAATCGCTTCACTCATCGAACGTAGATGCGAAGAGCCCCTCACAGAGTCGTGTCCACAACGGGGTCAGGGCAGGGAGCAAATGCCTGGCAACAGTGTGTCCACAGGAGGCATATCCAGACCTTCCCCGCCCTTCGAGCACCGGGAGTTAGACTGGACGGGAAGCTTCCTTCTCCCCGGACCACTCTGCCAAGCCCAGGCCAGGCACATAGCAGGAAGGGACAGGCAACAAGGAGCCTGCTTTCCCAGAAGATGGGGTGAGGAGGTGGCCGGGGTGGGGGTGAAGCCCTGAGAGCAGCCAAGGCTTGACCCCAGGCTCCTGCCCTTTCATCCCCTAATCACTGGGCACCACTAACTGTGGGTAGGAGCTGTGCCAGGCACCAAAGCCTTGTTTTCCCGTTTCGCCGAGAGGAAAGGGAGAGGCACCAGCGAGGAGCCCACAATCCTCCTGCCCGCCCTTTCTTACTTTCCCAGGAGACGAGCTGAGGAATCACGTGTGCACACGAGAATGTACAGGTGTTCTTCCTTGTCAATTTCCTTCAGGTGGATCCCAAACTTCTACGTGGGGGAGAAACCAGAACAGGACATGAGAAACCCACGCTGCCTGTCCCGCAGGCAGTCCTTTCATTTCCCGTCAGAACTCTCTCTCAGCCGGGACCCCAAAGTCACGTGGAAGACTGAAGAAGAGAGGCCGAAGAGGAACTGCCCTGTGGGAGCTCTGACACCGGCCAAAGCAACAGGACCCACTTCAGGGGACAAGAGACACTCAAAAGAGCATGAGGGAGAGGACCCCGCGGGGGATGGAAGCATAAGGTGGACGCTCCCAGGTGGAGAAGCTAGGGAGGGCTTCCAGAGCAGGTAGTGCCGGAGGTGGGCCTCAAGGGGCTGCAGGGTGCAAGGCCTGCCTGCAGCTCTTGTACTACAGGGAGCTGCCCCTGTCCCTTTGCCCACCTTTTCCAGAGTGTACGTTGCTCGTTCAATGATCTCAGGGAAATGTTCGTCGTATTCTCGGATGACATCCTTCATCATGTCTGTGGGAGATGAGAGGTGGAGAGAGCACCAGGGCTGAGCAGGGGCCAAAGAGCTGCACCCCCTCAGTCAGCCTCACTGAGGGGAGCACAGTTGGGACCCCCGTACTGTGCAAATGGGAGCGATCAGCTGGGCACACTGGGTGGGGACATGTGATGCGAGGCCCCGCAGGGTAGGGATGGGGACGGGGGAAGGGCAGAGCTCAGGGAGGGGGCACAGGTTGCCCACCTGAGCGCTTGATGGGAATCTTCTTGTAGTCCTTAATCATCAGATATTTCACCAGTTTATTTGCCTGGAGGAGGAGGAGCACACGGGGAGATCAAGGCATGGCTGACCTCCAAGAACTGGCCCATAGGAGAGGAGAGGAGGAAGACGGGGAAAAGGCAGATTTCTTACCCTCTCTTGCAGAAGGGTCACGTTGCGGGGTGGCAAGCACAGGACATGTCTTGAGGGTACCTGGGACCTCAGGGCCATCGGTGGCCGGGGAACCATATGAGCCCGCACTGTCATCGGAGGCTGCGATGGTCTCCAGGTCGGTGGGACCGCAGGAGGCTCTCTCTCCTCCTCGCTGCTCTCATATTCGTCATCCAGGTGCTTGGACTGTAGCATTAGAGAGAGAAGAGACCCAGGGCTACCAGACTCACCGTGCAAAAGTGCCCAGCACACGTCTTAACCAGAGGAGATACTTGGAAATGAGGGTAGTACAAACAGTGGATGACATGTGCTGAGTGCTTACTACGTGCCCGGCACCGAGCCAACCTCTTCTCCCGTCAGGCCTGAGGGCAGAGACTTCGTGGGGTCAAAGCATGCTAGCAAACTTGTGTTGGACCAACGTGCACAAGCTGACAGAAAAGAGGAGGGGAGGGGAGGGGAGGGGAGAGGAGAGGATAGAGCAGAGAAAGGAGGGGAGCAAGTGGGGGGTGCAGACGGCAGGGAGGTCTCACCTTCTTGGTCCTCTTGCCTCCCATCCTGACCCAGGGCTCAGCATTGTGCTGGGCAGGGGCAGCTGCACCCTCAGGCTCAGGGATGCTCGTGGCCATCTTGGTCTTGGCAGCAGCTGCTGTCACAGCATTCTGAGGCTCCACCCACCGGGTCTTGGCGAGAGCCTTTCCAGATTTGGTCGTCTTGGGCCGGGTGGCTGCCCCCTCCCTGGCAGGTGCTGCCTGGAGCACCCCGGAAGCAGCACTGGGGCCCTCTGTGGCAGCCTCTTGGGCCGGGGCGGGCCTCTTGGAGCGGGAGAAGGCCATGCCACTGACACCTGCCGGCTGGGTGAAATCAAAGAGATCGTTCTGACCCAGGAAGGCTGTCTTGGGCCGGGTGGCATCCATCTCACTGGCACACGGAGCCTGAGAGAAACCACAGGCAGCACTAGGACCCTCAGTAGCAGCCTCCTGGGCCTGGGAGCCTGTCTGGGGCTGTGTGGACTTTGCTGGAGCCCCTGGGGTGGCCATCTCACTGGTGACTAGCATCTGGGAGATGTGTGGAGCAGCAAGGGTGGTCTCAGGGGTGGCTGCCTGAGCCTGGGCCGCATAGGTCATGGGCTGGGTATCTTCTCCTGAACCCTGGTCTGTGGCCACTGGGCGGTTAGTGACCACCTGATTGTAGGTGGCACGGGCAGCAGCAGCAGCGGCCCTAGCAGCACGATTGGAGGCGGCTGCGCGGGCTACGTTGACAGCATGGGCAGCAGCCTCATTGGCAAGTGTTTCTGGATCCAGCTGAAATGCCTCCATCAGAGTCCTAGCTAGCATAGGGTTTTCCAGTTCCCAGGGCTCATTCTGCAAGGCCAGACAGAAGGGTAGGGGAAAGCAGACAGTTCTACAAGCTCACATCGTGCTTCCCACCCAGCCTCCTCCCTGCAGCCAGCTCCCAACCCCCACCCCGGACTTCCCAAACCCCCTTTCTCTGAGCAGGAGAGGGAATGCTCGGGAAGCTGGGCAGTCCTTCCCCATTCAACCCTCCCATTCACGACCCCCCCCCCCCAATGCAGCTTCACAAGGGAGAAGGCCCAGGGCCAGCAGGTGGCCAACAAGGAGCCTCACCGATAAGATGCGAAGGCCTGGACCCAAGCTCCCAAAGGCTCTGAGGATACGGATGTCAAAGCTGGTGAGGGTGCCATAGCCTCCAAAAGCACCAAATTCTTCATAGTCATTTCCTTCAACCATCTCTTCCTCCCCGACTTCATCGCTACCCTCATCCATGTCTTCAACGTTGTAGGTTTCTGATTCCATGCGGTAGCTTCCCTCAGCCATGCTGGAGGTGGTCCCAAAGGAAGAAACGCCAGGAAGGAGGTAGAGCTTTCAAAGAGGGAAGAAGCGGGATCCAGCTGATGGGAGAGTGCAAGTCCCTCAGGAGGAGGGAGGCTGCAATCATCAGGTTACTAAACGATACAAAACGAACAAAGAGGAAAGTGAGAAAGGAGAAAGGGAGGAGGGTGTCTAGTGGGATTTAGATTCTGTCAGAACCTGCTTGACAGGAGGATGTGATAGTCTCCCTGCACTTAAAGGGGACTTCAAGAGGGGCACGCTCCCCGTCCCAGCCTCTAGATTTGAATAGGGGGTGGACTGGTGGGCTTGGGTCTGAAGAGTCCCAAAAGAGGATCACATTGAGAAGAGGGGAGAAACAAGGCTTGAATTTAACAAACGAGAGAGCAGATGTTATGGAAGGCTGAGACTACAGGACAGAAAGCTATAGAGTGAATCCAAGACCCTCTAAGTCCAAGCGAGAGCACCTCAACTGATGAATTCAAACTAGGTTAGACTCATACAGGAGCGCTAGGGGTAAGAAGAGGTGAGGTGGGGAAACAGTTGGGTGAGGCATGAATTAGAGCGCTGGAATTCTCAAGCAGGATCGCAACTCCAGGAAGGGGCTCACGGGGTCAGCTTGGTTGGAGTGACCTAGGAGTGGTTGGGGTAGAGTAGGGCAAGATAGCTCAGCAGGGTGCACACGGGTCTGCTAAAGGGGTTCGGATTGTGGGCTCCAGTGTAAGTGGGGATCAGAGAGCCTGGGTCTCCTGTTGGAAGACTCTCCTCTCCTGTTGGAAGAGGTCGGTGCGGAGGTGGGGGGGGGGGGGGCGGAGTGTCCTACCTAGACCGTGGGTCTAAGCGGGCTCAGGTTCTGAGTGCCTGGGCTTTGTTCAGATCCGGCTATTGGGGGCGGGGAGGGCGCACCGTGCCGGGTTCCACTCGTCCTCTCCCGGTCCAGTCCGGGGCTGGATTCTTACCTTCCCTGGGGCTCCAATGGCGTCCGTCCTCAGCACCAGGAACCCCGCAGCCGCGCCCTCGCCTACTGCTGCCAGCACAGCAGCTCCGACCACCCCGCCCCTTTTCTCCGCGCACCCCTCGCGTCTGGGCAGCCTGCGCATGCGCGGACCCCTCCAGCCCGCCCGTTTTCCCAACAAAAGCCCTCTCCACCAGGTTCCCAGTGCGCATGCGACTCCAAGAGTGTGGTGGGCGGGGTGGGGGGCGTTTTCTCCTTCCCGCCCGAGACCCCTCACCCCTCCTCTGACCGCAGGGTCGCGCACTCACAGCTCTGGGTGCAGTTCGACCACCCAATCGTCTACCCTCGGTGCCCGCACTCCTGCACAATGCTTCTCGTCCCTGCCCTCCCCGTTCCCGCTAAACTCCTCTGGTGTGGTCTGGAATACACTATGTCTGGCTTTCCCAGCATGACCCCTAGGTCACAAACACAAAGGTCTCTAGCTGTGTCTCTAACTGTAACAAGGGGAATGGAAATGGCCAGAGGATGCCAGTTGCCTTTGTGTTGCCCAGCACTACCCATCTCTATGGCCCCCAGACACACTGGGAACATCTGCTTCCCCAGCTACTCTGTATGCAGCGTGTGCATCACAGCGCTGTCTGTACTGGGGCTTGTCTTCCTCTCACAGCAGCCCTGGGAGGTGGCTGTCAGCATCCCCATTTTACAGATCAGAAAGCTGAAGCGCAGTCACACCGCATGAACTAGACAAGGCCACAGAGCCAGTAAACAGAAAATGCAATATGTGGGCCTGGGTCTTCCTGACTCCAGACCCCATGTCCCTGTAGGGCTGGCCTGGGGACTGAGGTGCGCCCCCCCCCCTTCAGTTGGAGCGACAGATCCACCCCTCAGCTCTCCTGCCCTGCCAACACCTGTCCCAAACAAGCAAAGTTTGTGCTCTCTGAGACGCAAGCTCATGCTCTGTATCCGGGACACAGGTAGAGACCCCCAGTCTCCAGCTCTCACCTACTGCACGCGTGGGTCCATCCAGGTGTGGGAATTGCTCCTTGGGGTCCACTCCCTGACCTAACCTCAGGCCTCTTCGCTGTGAGTGGCACAAACACGCTGCCCCTGAGGCCTTCCTGGTGCCCGCTGGAGCGACCAGGACAATCAGGCATTTTGTGTGTCTGAGCCATGGCAAGCCCTGCCTCAGAGTAAATGTTTGCCCGGGGTTCCTTGCAAGGCAGGGGCCTGGGGCCGCTGTGGTCTTGTGGAAAGAAACCGGGCTGGTCTTCAGAATTCCAGGGATGGGGTGCCGGGCCAGTCTGTTGCTACTAGCTGTGTGAGCCTGCTCGGGTCCCTGGACATCTGTGAGCCCGGTTTCTCAATATGCAACATGGAGAGCACGGGAAGCACATCCCGGGGTCCTACCCCACCCAACACATGCTGCTGTGCTTCCAGAATGACTGGAGAAACTGCTTTGGAGGCAGACAATGCTATGTTTCCAACTCAAATCGAACCTGTGCTTTTTACAAAAACCATAGCGGACTTTTAGATTTGTTTTTATGTCAGCCTCTCCGGGACTCCTGTGTGTGAATGGAAGCTATTGCTAGGACCACAGCTTTTACTCTCCAGTGACCAGTATCAATTCTGACTGGCTGGATGACTTTCCTCAGCTGTTGCATAGCAACCTCCCCCTTCAGCAGCCTGTGTCTCTTCAGCCCTTCCTGTATAACACGTTTCTGTGGGAGGTGACCAGACCCTAGAAATGAAAGCCTTGGCAAGCTGCTCAGTGCTAATAGAAAATACTGTGTTCCCATCTCAAACTGAACCTGTGCTTTTTACAAAAGCCATAGTGGACTCTCGTACTCATTTTGTTTGCTTGTTTTTGCTTTCTTTCTCCTTTCTGAAATTAGGCTATAATTGGCATATGACTTTATGTTAGTTTCAGGTGTGCAACGTAGTGATTCAATATTTTTATGTATTGTGAAATGATCACCACAATAAGTCTACTTAACGTCCATCCCCATATATAGCTACGACTTTTTTTCTTATGATGCGAGCTTTTGTCACATTCGTTTTTGTATCAGCCTCTCTCTATATAAGCTATATAACTATATATCTATGCTAACATCCTAGTAACTCCAAAATCTACAGCTCCATTTTGAACCTCGCCTTTGAGATCCAAACCCATATATTCATTCCCCTACGTGACATCTCCATTTGGATGTCTCAAGGGCTCCTCACAGTGAGTCTGTCTAGAACTGGTCACTTGGTATACTACCCCTCCCAAAGGCTCAGACTCCCCATCTCTCTTGTTTCTAAAACTCCCATCTTCACCATCTCAGTAAATGGCACCATTATCCACACTCACTCCAGAAAACGGAAGTCAGCTACCACCACTCCCCTTTGCTCATACACTGCACCCTGATGGGAAGCCTCTGCAGCTCTCCAGAACTATCTCTCTGTGTGGCTCTCCCCTCCCTTATTTCCAGCAAATTCTAGTCACGTTGGCCTCTCAGAACTCTCAACTCTGTCTCCTTCACTCAGGCTCTCCACTGGGCTCTGTTTGTGTTCAGTCTCCCTGGGCTGCAGCCTGTAAACTCCATCCAGGCAAGAAATTGGGGGAGTTGGGCAATCTGAGAGCTCACCATATTAGTTTCCTTTCTCTCAGGGATCGCTGTCTGCTGTTGCCTGTGGTGCCATGACGTAAAAGCTTTAGAATTTTTTTGGTTTGCAGCTATTCAGGTGGGAGAGTAAATCGGGTTCCTGTTAAACCATCATGCCTCCATGATGTATTTCTTAAATTTGAATTTTTTCTTAAATTTGAATTTTTTTCACTGAGCCATAGGGTTTTAAGATGTGTTTCCTTGCTACACATGCATCTAAGATCTACCTAAGTGACTCTGCACAGATATCGTATGGCGTGTATTCATGACATTTTTCTTTCCAATCTGCTCCCCCAGGGCTTTACCCTGACTCCTAAGGAAGTGGAAAACTGGAAAAAATATACAACCATTCAACACCAAAGGTAAGAATTACAGGGAACTTCTCATCAGAAACAATGCAAGTTATAAGATGGTGGCATATCATCCTTATAATAGTGAAATAATTAATAACTGCCAACTCAGAATTTTTATATTCAACGAATATCTTTTTAAAGTGAAGTTGAATTAAAAGTTCTTTTCATACATACCAGTGTTGAAATAATTCATCATCATTGGATATGCACTACAAGAAATAGTAAAGGATGTCTTTCAGGCATGAGAAAAATGACAGTAAATATAAATGTATTCTACACAAATGAATAAACAATACTGGAGATGTTAAATATGATGATAGCGATAAAATAATCTTTTTTTTTATTTTTGGAACTTTCTTTATAAATTAATTGAGAGCGTAAACAGAAATTCATAGCAATGCATTGTGGAATATAAATTCCGTGGAATTAATTTCTTGGACAATAATAGCACAGGGCCTAGTGGGAATATAAGTATACTGTTGGTGGGTTCTAATTCTACATGTGAAGTAGTACAATATTACTTGAAGGTAGACTGTCGTAAGTTAAAAGAAGCATCAAATGTAAAACCTATCCAAAAAATTATGGCTAATAAGCCTATTTGGAAGATAAATGGTATTATCATGAAATACTTTAAAATAAGTCCTAAAAGGGAAAACAAAATAAGACAACAGATGAGCAAGTAGAAAACAAATAGCATGATAGTTTTAAATCCAACCATATCGACAATGGTATTGAATACAAATTGAATTCACCAATTAAAATGTAGAGATTGACAAATTGGATTCCTTTTTCTTAAATAGGCTTTATTTTTAGAGCACTTTTTAAGTTCAGAGCAAAATTGAGCAGAAAGTACAGAGCCATCCCATAAACCCCTTGCCCAAAACAGACACAGCCTCTCCCACTACCAACATCCTGCACCAGACTGGAATACCTCCTCCTACAATCAATGAATCTATACTGACATGTCATTATCATGCAAAGTCCACGGTTCACATCGGTGTTCACTGTTGGTTTTGTGCATTCCATGGGTTTGGA